GGGAGAACTTGCACAATTGGTGGCTGACTAAATACTTTTTTGCCCCACTGTATGTAGATGGTGGACTTAGGTTGCAGTTGCAGTTTTATTATGTGTTTTGCTATGTTTCTATTTTTATTATGTAAACTACCTTGAGTTGCATGAAATTGGACAGTATATGAATGTTATTCTAAATAAATTAATTAGAAAAAGTCTTATTTCCCAAGAAGCATGTATAGATTTGGAGTATATGCAGTACAGTGAAATGTTAAGGGATCCTCTCTTTGTAGTAGGTTCAGAATGTAAGTGTCTTCAGATTCCTCCAGTGTTCACAATTCTACTTCAAAGCAGTGTCACAAATTCAACAGAATAAATAATTGTTCTCAAGCTGTATGTCGCTAAAAGTAGATATCTTTTATCATAGATTGATTTTTTTTTACTCACAGTATTGTCATCTAGCCCAACCCCTGCTTAGTGCAGGATCCTTTATAGTTCTCTGACAGATTACCATCCAGCCTCTTTTGAAGAACTTCAGCAAAGGAAAACTCATCTTTTCACTCATGTGACATGCTGACAATTTATACAATCAGGAGATTCCTCCTGATGTCTAGACTGAAACTACTTCCTTGTAGATTTAATCCATTGCTTCTGGTCTTGTCCTCCAGGACAGTAGAGAATAAATCCACTCTCACTTCTGTATGACAGCCCTTATAATATTTGAAGGTTGTTGTCATATTTCCTCTCAGTTGTTTCTTGTGTAGGGTAAATATACCTTTAACTATACATTGCAGGGCTTGGTTTCCAGGCACTTCATCATTTATCTGTGCTTTGTGAAAAGCTTCTAGCAGAAGAAAAATGGACATCCATAATGTCTCAGAAGTTTTGCAGAAGGAAAAAATTAGGGTCAGATTTATTTATTCATTGGGTTTGTAAAACCACCTAATTGCCAATTGACTCAAGGTGGCAAATCTTACTTGTTCTCCCCTAGGTAATGAATGGTGCAATTCTTCAGCAAGTCTTTGTAGTAGAGTATATTGTTCAGTCTCAAATGTGTGAAGACTGCCATCGAGTTGAAGCTAAGGACTTCTGGAAAGCAGTGGTTCAAGTTAGGCAGAAGGTATGTATGTGTGTGTGCGTTTGTGTGTGTATATACATACATACATATACAAACACATAGGGTATATATAATAGTAACTACTGAAGACATTGATCTGCCAGGATTTCATTTGATATGTATAAATGCAATAGCTCTTTCTTACCTACATACACAAACACAAACATTCTTGCCTGTCTTTCTCTTACTCAGTAAGCAACTCTGGGAATCTTTCAAACTAAACAGTGGAATAGGAATGCTTTAAATAAACAAATTGATTCCAGGTTTCTGTATGTGTTTCACTAAGACACACAGATCCATTCATGCTTTTTAGGTAGTTGGGTCCATTGAGCTTGGAGGAATTGTCTTCTGAGAAAACATGTTTGTTTTAGGGCTATATAATTATTCTGCTTTAAGTAGTTTGTACAGTCTACAGAGTTTTAGACTTCAGGTGAAATGATAGCCCTATTAGTTAACTGCATTTTTTATGCATTTAACAGCTTTACAGGAATATAAACACCACTCATGTATAATCTTGTTTTGTTTATAGACACTACATAAAAAGACTTTCTATTATTTGGAGCAATTAATTTTAAAACACAGGCTTCACCAGAACACTCTTCGGATCAAAGAGATTCATGGTAAATAATATGCTTTTAAGTTCTTTATGTAAAGCTCTTGGTGTCTTGGAGTGATCTAAATCAACATCAGCAGTGATAGACAGGAGTTACTGGCAGTCAAGAATAAGATGCTTGGTTTTTAAAGATCACATGGGAAAGATGGTGCTGAGTGAATATGCAGATACAGTTCTGTGAAAAAGTATTCTTCCCCTTTTGGATTTTCTGAATTTTGCTTATCTTTGCCACTGAATGTTATCAAAACTTGTATGAGTCCTAGTGATTTATAAACAGAGCCTGAATGAACAAATAACAGCAAAGTTTGTTGCTTGCTTGATTTATTTTATGAACAAAATCAGCTAGCATGCAATCTGCCAGTACAAAAAATTCAGTAACTGATTGTACCTCCAGTTATCATGCAGGTACTTATTTATCATACAGATCTTCATTCTCTTCATGCATGTTTATGAAAACCTCAAGGCTATTTTCATTTTCATTAATAAACCATATTTAACACATGCCTTCTTCTTTGTATCACAATGGGAAGTTATAATTCCACCAAGCATTACAATCATTTATTCTAGCTGTTGTGAATGCTCTGGAAACATCATACTGTAGTATTCCTCAAACAAAAAATATGTACAATTACATCTAAAAGCAGGTTAATGTAGTTATTTATTAAATAAATAAGCTTACTGTATGTGGCTGCCCAAAAAGTTGTTGTTGTTTTTAATTTTTATGGTGGAATTAAAATTTTTCTAAATGTGTTTATATAGAGAAGACAGCTTAGGTTAAATGTGGTCTATTAATGAATATCAAAGTAATCTTGAGGCTTTCATGAAATTCCATGAAGGTAAGATCTCTGATCAATAAGCAGCAGCCTTCATGACTTCAGTTTCATATACGTACCTACAGATGGTCTGGATTTCTACTATGCTTCCAAGCAGCATGCTCAGAAAATGGTGGACTTCCTTCAGTGTACTGTACCTTGTAGGTAAGTCTTTGTCTTTAAATTTGTTCTTTAAATTGCATAGCTGTTTACGGCATTGTAGTCCCATTGGGAAAAAAAATTAGACAAACCTCAAGTTCTCAAACTTTTTGGGGGAAAAAAAAAGTCCACGCTCTTAGCATATCTTATGATGTACTCCAGATCATCACCGACCACCTATCCCAGAAATATACATCTTCAAGTCCAGTCTTGTTTGCCTCAAGCTGTGTTTGAAGATTTACATATTACAATTCCAATATTGAGCATAGAAGTAGAATGAAACACCAGATCTGGCAATCTCCTAAACCACAAGAGTGAAATGTAATTGGAAGAAAGCTTCTCCTTTCAAATAACCTTTTTTTCCAAGATGAGATGTAGTTGTAGATTCATATTGTGGAAGCAAAATCCAGTGTATTGTTCTTGCATTACATCTTTGAAGTTTTTCTGCTTCTCTCCTTTGGAAGGAAACAAAAGTGGCAAAATTCTTTTGCTTATGCTCCAAAAATTACAATTAGAATGAGGTCCCTGCAGTTTTACCTTTGAATGAATATTCAACAGCTACAGTTGTTCAAGTATTAACCATTGTGGAGATGACAGTTCATATCTTTGGAGGATGTTGATCCTTTAAATGTCTTCTTTCCTGTGAAGGTTCTTTACTTTCCAAGGACTAGACACACCACAGCATAGCGAGCTATACACAGTGCTTTATTATGACACTCACCTTCCCCAACAACAGGCTATTGCTCTGGATTAACTCCACCCTTCTAGGATGCTCAGTCTTTTAATACTCAGTCCAAACAAAAGTCTCCAAGTCTATAAAGTAGCATACAACCTTTGCCTTTTCCCAAAAGTTGTTGCAGTAGTTGGGATGAGGTGCTGCCTCAGTGTGGTTGTTTCTTTTCCAGTTGCTGCTGAGCTCCAGTCCAAGCTCCAAGCAGGGCTCCCACCAGGACATGCTGCTCACTGTAGCTTGTGGTCTTGGCAGTTGACTAATAGTCTTCTTGTCTGCTTATAATAGCTGCCAGTCTCCAGACATCACCTCCACTTCCCATCTGCATGCTGTTTGCCTATCTCCTTGTTCCTACACCTGTCTCCACTCTGTCTTAATGTTTGTTTTTATAAGCTAAGGGCCTGGGTGGGTTGAAGCTGCCACTGGACATCAGCACGTCCTTAAAAACGCCAGGGTGTGGTTCAGTTATTACAGGCAGCTGGAACACCAATTTGGATGCTCGTGAGTAAAGTTGTGAGTGAATGAATGAGAATGGATGGATGGATGGAAATGGGGTGAGAAGCATTTCTGCCTGGCTGCAGCTACTTTTCCCAAGCACGGACAGCAATCCCAACTTCACTCCCTCACATTTCCATGTTCACTTTTACAAACTAGGAGTGATTCAAAGAATACAGCCAGATGTTTAGACTTGTAATCATTGTGAATGTTCCTTCTTTGCTATCTTATTTTATGGGGTGTGGGAGAAATTTTTAATGTGAAATCTGATTTCATCCATAACTCTAATCCAAAATATGATTTGTTTGTTGTATGCTTATGAGGACATACTCATTATGACTAGGCTTTCTCTATGGGCCAGGCCACCATGACTTGTTCAGCAAACCATTGTTCAAAAAAAACAGTGTGAACTATACCATAGCCTTGATTGCTCTGATTTGAGTTTGTTATTTTTTAATTTCAGAATTAAATCATCACAGCGTTTGATTTCTCATGACATTCACAGCAATACGTATAATTACAAAAGCACTTTCTCTGTTGAGATTGTTCCAGTATGTAAGGTATTTCCTGTCTTTGTGGATTAGGCACTGAGAATCTACAAGTCCTTTTTGCCTGGAGTGGGATGGTCCTTAGAGATTGTATTTATTCTTGCAAATATTGGATAAGATCTGAGAGGAAAAGATTCAGGCTATCCAGTGGATTCTGGATATGGGGTCCCTGTAAGAGCACTAATAAATCATTTGTGTTTGTCAGAGATGGATAATCTGTGGGTCTTCAGAGATTGCTCTTCAATTTCAGGCAGCTCTCGTTAGCTAGGAGTCAGATGATGGGACCTGTGATCTAACAACATCAGATCACAATTTTCTCATCCCTGGCTTACAGCTTAATGTCAGTACAATATTTGATACAATAAATCATAAGTAAGCACAGTTGAGTTAAGTTGAATGTACTTCCAGATAAATCAATATAGTCTTGATCTATAGCAGCAACTATATAATTTTAAAATTCTATATATATATGTTTGTGTGAATGTGTGTATTTGATCAACTTAGCATGAAGTAGTTAATACAACAGGTATCATAAATAGATTTTTTGATACTATTTAATCTCTAGCATTTTGTCATGATTGAATTCTTTCATGTTTAATTTACAAATTTAAATAATTCTGCATAATTGTAGAATATCTGACTATTAGAAGTCACTGACTGAGTTTGGACATTTAGCTTTCAAACTAATACACAATTACTCCTTGTATTCAGGGGAAGTAATGAAACCAACAACTGTCTCTACGCTTTGATATATTCAGTTCAGCTATTTGATCAGCAAAGAAAAACAATTGCAAGGTGATCTTCAACCAAAGCAAGCTGATATTTTTATGAATCATTTAAATGCTTTAGTGCCTAGAAACATATTCAATGTAGTTTTCTGACTTTCAGTTCCCTTTCAGGACTAGAATATTTTACTAAAAAATAGCTTAAGATGGAAAATTGAGAGAAACATATTATTTTTTATTTCTGTTCTCCATCTGCAGGACAACGTTGTGTGTTTGTCACCAAAACTGGCTCAAAGCCTTGGTAATATGAGCCAGATTTGCATTTGTATCCGGGTAACCAGTGCCATTCACATTATTGATCCAAATACATTGCAGAGTAAGTTTTTGATATTTTCCATATAAACTGTAATCTTGTAATACCAATAATAAGCACCCTGAATGAATCTTAATGTAAATATAGTTCTAAAGTCTTTTTAAAACCACCAAACTGTTGTAAGGCTTGAAGCTACAAATACATATATATTTGAGATTAGTATATTGTTTTCATGATTGGTTATTCAAGGAAGCTAAATGAATTTTAAAAAGGAAAACACTATAAAAAGTTGAAAACATAAAATATAATTAATGCTAAACTTGATAGTAAAATGAATTAATAAATGAAAACCTGGCAAAATAGATGCCACATTACAGTCATTTTTAAAAGAGGGCTCCTGATGACAGGATGGTGTCATTCAAGATTCATCACTAACATTCCCCTCCTTGAAATCAAAGCAGCTAAAAGACCCAAAATCCAGATAGGCAAATTTTGAAATTAACTTATCCAGGCAGGCTTCAGTAGTATATACCAAATCCATTTATTCATCTACAACTCTGAATGAAGAAGTTCATATTACATATGGACCTGATATTTGCCCTCAGCAGCTGGAGGCCCAGGTTGTCAGCTGTCTGAATTTCCTAGGTATTAGAATTTCCTATAAGAAATACTGCTCCCTGATTCCTCCCGTAACTGTCTCCAAAAGGATCTGCCTACTCCATCCCTCATTCAGAGGCCCCAAACTACTTCCCAAGATCAGGTACCAATCTGAACCCTGTGTATTACCTTTGTACCCAGAATGATAAAGATTCAGGAGACCATTGTGTAAACAGCAAACTGCAGGCTTCTTCATTATCAGTAAAAAGATTCACCTCCCTCTTGGACATTAAGAACAAAAATCAGAAGTCTCTTTTCCAATGTTCATAGGGATATATAGTTTCTAAGTAGAACTTAGTTCAGTTGCTGGAATTTTTGGAAATCCAACCTTTTGGTCTCAAGTAAATTTTGCTAAGGAATCACTCACAAAGAATCACTTTCAGTTTTATGTCTCTGACGAGGGATATACAGTACACGCCTATCTCTATACACCTCAGTTCCACTATTAGTTAATCGTAGTGGCCAGAAATCTGACATGTCACTGCATCCGGCACACTAATCTGCAGCCACTCATAGTCTCCACACATCAGTCACTTGTTACATACCTCCCAGTGTTTGAGGATATTTAAAGTGTCCTTTTAATTCCTCAGGCCCTTGGGCTAGGGGACCCTACCCCCCATGGAAGATTGACTCTATTACCTGCACTTAAAGTAATGCAATATCACCCAGTTCTGTGTAGATGCAGTAGAGGCAGGGTAAGGACTCATCACTGACTCAACTACACTAGCCTAGGACTTCAGATGGCCAGATCGGATCAAGCACAGAATGAAGCCCAAGAGTTCCTCTACCTGCTCTCTTGCTGACATATCTCTCTTACTATTTTTAATTCTGGTAAACCAAGGGCTGATTTGGACCTGTGAGAGGAAAGAGAACAATTGACAGTATTGGTCACAGACATTGTTGGAAATCCCCCAAACTCATTTAAAAAACAATTGTAGAGGACATAGGGAATGGCGTTGAAGGACAGAAGGAATAGCTGCTACCAAAGTAATTAGTCAGATAAGCAGGGATTGAGCCTGGCCAAGAAGTTAATTTGTGAAAACATCTCAGACAAACTCCTCCCTAATTCACACAGAGATAGAAGTGGGTGGGGGGGAGCACATTCAGACTTGCAAGATTCTGTTGCTATAGCTGTTCCAGTAAAAATAGTTTTAGACATATGTAGCATTGGTTTCTTGAACTGGTCTACCTTACATGGCTGACAACAATCAGTATCCATCAGATGCCTAGGATTGGTCAATTTAACTGGTCTTCCACTCCTGCATTTTTAGCCATACATCTAAAACTGACCAAGGGATTATCTGTCTATGACAACAGAGCCACATATTGCTTCTCAATTTTCAGATGACCAACTTCACTTGAACCCAATAGTAAATTTCACATATACCCTGTTCCATTTGTTGAGGCTACATACTAATTGAGACTTGTCCATTATGGTCATGAAGGATATAAAATCCTGAGCCACTCCTGGCTGGGCAACTCCAGTTGGACATTGAAATCCCCAAGGACCAGTGAGTGATCACTCCAGTCTGAGATAACCAAAGGTAGCTTTGGAAGAAACTGTTGGGCACCGACATCCAAAACCAGCATTGTGCTCTCAAAATTAGCAGGCCATTGGATTGAGAATATGGTCAGTAAGGTGAAATTGACTGTATACTTTCCCACTCAACCTCCCTGCCCTCCATTTCCAATCTGCTGTGCCCCACAAAGTGGCCTAGTGGGCAGAGATGGGAGGAGCAAATTTCCCCTTTAATGTCAACCTGATATCTCTGATGCTAGATTAGCACTTTTATCCAGGAATATCAGCAACTGATTCATAAATCAGGTCTGATTTAGCTCTGGTCTCCTATTTTCTTTTTTTGCTCTTTCAGTTGCAGAAATAGATGGAAACACATATTGGCGCCATCCTTTTAATAGCTTGCTGCATCCAAAGCAGTTGGAAGAATTTATTGTAATGGATATCAGTAAGATCTGTGAACAGAAGCAAGGTGCTGGTGCAGGCATGAAATCCAATAAGGTAAGAATGTTTGTTTGCTTGTTTCTCTGATAGAAGCTTGAGCAAATCTTGCTTCCTGATTAATATTGTTTCACTTTGCAGTGTGTTGCATAAATGTATGATAGTTCCAATGAAGTCCTCACTCTCTTCAGAATGATTTAAATATTAGCTGGACTATACTTACTTTGGAAGAGAACTCAGCAGTTGGAGTACCACTTCCAAGAAGATCATAGTTTTCATCCACAGAGTTATGCTTAAGATTATCCCTATAACTTTTTTGCTTTTTGAAATCTTGACCAAAATTAGTCATAAGGTCAGTCCTTTAAAATGAATAGCACCTTGAAATTAACCATGAATAACCTCCCCCTTGGATTGCAGAGCATTGGATCTATGAATAAATTTGGATTTTATAATTTAGGGTTGAGTTTGGGATACTTTTATTTAGGGAAATAACTTGTACTACAGCCTTTGAATTTATGAAAAGTTATTTCTTTACTTTCTTTAGAAGTGAACTATATATAATACACTGTTTATGTTCAGTGATGTGATAAAAATTAATGTGATACAAATAGTCTTAGAAAATGGCATATGTGGTATGTTACTGCAATTTTTTGTCTAAAAGTTTGTACTGAAGAACAACATTCTGGATTAAAGTAATACCTACTCTGTGACAAACAAAACTTTACTTTGTGATGTACAAATTAAGCAAATATGCATTATGATTATTTTTATTAGTTTAGTTTGCAGTTGAGTGACAAGCTAAATGAGCCCCATGATTCAGTGTTCCTAATTATATATAAGTCACTGTACAGAATGTTATTCTCATGATATTGTTTGAAAATCCTCATGTGAAAATATTCCTCAAGGGCTACTGAATGTAGCTTAGAAAAATTGATTATTTGGATAGAAAGTAAGGTGAAATTTGAAAGAATTTGTAATAGTTTTGCGTCAGTTAATGAACTACATTTAATGCATGTATTCCTTTTATTTTGACATTTTTAAGCATACCCTTGCAGAAGCCTGGGTTCAGAAAACATCAGAGCTGAATACAGACCATCAGTATTTCTGTCGTACTCACTTGGGGCATCTTCTGAATCCTGGGGATTTTGTACTGGGGTTTGTAATATTCTGCATCTTTCCCTGCACGTATGGTTTTATTCTTGACATAGATTATAAAATTAAATGGAAGAGGGAAAAGTTGAAAAAGTAGTTATTGAGTGGCCAAATTATGAAGGATCAGTTTTTACCATCATGACCCATGGATGCCCATTGGTAGAAGATGGAAAACATTACAATGCTGAAACTTTGCAGTTTTATAACACATTCCTTGTGCTAGTCCATGGCTGGACTCCAAAGTCCAAAACATGTATTAAAATATCTCTCCTGATATTTTATTCTGTGGTTTGGTTCATAAAACATGTTAAACCTTAACCTATAGCCCAGGTTATCAAAATACAGTTGCTGTGTTCAGTATTGTGCCAAACAAATAAACTGTTTAAAAATTAATTTAAAAATTAATGTGATCATATGGTGTATATATACTACATGCTAAGATGGTGGTTGGATTCTCACAAAACTTTGAACAAAAAACTACCTGGACCACATTTTATTTTGGTGTAGCCCATTCTGCATATCTAACCTGTGAATTTAAAACTACTAGTTCCGTACATGGATTTTTCAACTTAATGTAGAAAGTTATGTTAAACCATTGCCCTATAAAGTCAAATGCAACCCACATCACTTCTTAAGAAACTATAACTTGCCTTGCTTTTAAATATTCCTCATATATGATTGACCATCTGAAATTCATTTACTCAACAATAAATGAATTTTAGCAGTCAGAAGTCCACTCTCCAGACCTGATTTTTGCCATCTGAGTTTTGTTAAAATTAAGCAAATTACCCAAGAACAATCCAACTATGCAGTAATGCCAGTTTTAGATCACATTGTGATGTGGATTTTCAGTTTGTAAATATGTTTGGGAACTACTAATAGGAAGTGTAATCCTTTTCCCTTTAGGTTTTACCATATATTTTTCTGATTATGCTTTAAACAAACTCTTGGTACAAATCATAAAGTCAAATTTGTGATGTTTTTCTTCACTTGATCACATACATGAACAGCTTTTGGATGTTCTTGGAGCTAGAAGTCGCATGGCATTTTGCTTTTAGAAAGTATCCTGTCTTTAAATTCTTGGTCAATTTCTTGGAGCAAAGCACATTGGAATTCAGTATTTTTTTATGCCTCAGAAATTTGACAGATATAGATTCTGACAAGCGTCTTCTCTTGTTAGTATTCTGGTTATTTACATAAGAATACACTTTAAATTTTTCACGAAAGTATTCAGTAATAATCCTGTTTTAAATTTTCTCCATTCTACTATATTTTGGAAATAATACTTTTGTTAAGATTGATAGAATGATATATTATTAATATGTTTTTCATATTTTTTATTTTTTAGCTTTGATTTGGTTAATTGTAATCTGAATGATGAATTTGCAAACAAGATGAATCCCCATAGTGTTCCTGATGTGGTATGGTTCTGATAATTTTTTCTTTAAACAATCCATTTCTTACAATTAAGAACATTCATAGATCATTATGACATATGGCTCCATTCTCAAATTTGACATTATTTTGCTTAATTAATTAATTTATTCTACTCTATTTATATAGCCACCTATCTTACAATACTGACTCTGGGTGACTTACAACATTTAAAAACAATACAAACAATAGTAGTCCAAATATTATGTTGGATTACAATTCATAGAATGCCATATTGGCTGGGAATTCTGAGAATTATAGTCTAATACATCTTACTATACACAAAGAATTCTGACTTTTCTTTATTTTCTATATTTATATTTTGGTATCATAAGAAATTAAATTGTTCTATGTTATTTTATCTTATCTAGCTTTAGAAATTACATTTGTTTTTCCTGTCTGCCACAGTACTCTTACAAGCATTATGTCCATTTTTATTTCTGCATAATATTAAATGATGTCACTCTCTTTGACTCCCAGAAGTGACGGAGAATTTTGCATACTTGGATTTAGGAGAATGCTTTCCCTTTCAAGCATATCCTTGTTGTATAAGAGAGATGAACCATTTAAGCCCCCAAGTTTACATGTGACCTGAAAATCTTAGATGCAGAGGTCTCGAGTAATTGTTATCAAATGGTAACTTTTAAAGTTGCCATTTCTAGTTTATTAGTAAATTCTATTAAAACACTCCATTGTCTCCTTGTTTATACTTTAGATCATTTTTTTTCCCCCCAAGATGTAATTAAAGCTAGTATTTCATAGAATTGACTAGTTGTAGACTTAGGTTCAACAAACTTGCTGCTTCCTGTGCCTTCATATCATGTTTTAGCATGTCACTTCCACTCTTGGTCAAAATAATATTGGCTCATCAGCTGAAGTATATGTGAAATAAGTGGAGCATTTGGAAAGTGATAACAAAATGAGTGACTTTTAATCTTATTCTTTGGAAGTTGCTCTGGGAGTCTCTTTTCATCTGAAGGGTAAAAGTGCTTTCAATAAACAAGACTTTGCATTTGGCCCTTCTGCGTTGTAAAGAACCAAAATGTCAGTTGTAATAATAGTTTTAGTGAAAGCATTTACAGATACTACTATGTGATAAAAGCATTGATTTCTAAGAGATCTTAATATTTTCCTATAGACTGTATTGATCTAGGACTTGTTTTTTTCCTGTTCCATTCATAGGTTTTGATTAAAAAAAGTTATGACCGCACTAAGCGTCAACGTCGCAGAAACTGGAAACTGAAAGAATTACAAAGAGACCGAGATAACATGGATACAGATGATGAAAGGTTATGGATTGTTTCCCCCCCTTTTTGTTATATTCTTATCCTTTTTCCTATCAGCTTAATCTGCTTATTCGTACACCCATGAACAAAATAAACTGCCAGAGAAACAGATTGTGTTTGGATGTCATTCAGATCAGAGTTCCTCAACTTGGTAGCTTTCAGATATATCTTGGACTTTGTCAAACTTAAATCTGGATGTTGAAGTCCAATTTACCTGGATAGAATACTGATTGGAGAAGAATAACTTGGAATATAGTCTACTGCTGAGGCTTGTGGCTACAAGAGGGTGGTGGATGCAAGATGCAAACTGTTCAAATTGGTCCAATTAATACGCAATATAGTACACTTGTGTATTCCTACTGTAAACTGTAGCTTGAGTAACTTGGGGCTTTTATCCCTTTGCCAGTTGTATTCTATAAGATGGATGGTGTTTGGTATATTTTGCCATGTTTATCATCCAATACTAATTTTAGTTTTAAATGTGGGTTAACATATAGCACAACTCCATTAACTTTTTTTGGATGTGCCAAAATAAATTCTTGTCCAAAATTCTTATAAATCAAATATTTTATGTCCTTTTTTCTGATATCAGTTTCTTGTAAACAAATTACACCTTTAAGTTTTTTTAAATAGAGGAACACTTCTCTTTTGGGGAGCATTTCCTCCATTTATATTCCACGTTAGCCATGTGTAACTCCATAATTAAGCCAGTAGTTTAGAAAAGTTGAGTGTTGGCACCCAACTCAGAGTCCTCTTTTTCATCTTCCTCCTGTACTTGTTTGGCTTTTGAGATTGTCTGCTTGTCCTCCTCCACTTGCATCTCCAGGTCTCCTCTGAATTTTTTCCAGAATTTCTTTGGCTTTATGAACCAAATTCAGACAAAATCTTTTCTGTTGGAAAGTAAAAATCACTCCCTCCAGTTTATCCCAACGAAACAAAATCATCTTCTGTTTCAATTCCTCCGTCAAAAAAAAAATAGTCCTTTCTCTTGCATAAAATTCTGATGGGAAGTTCTTTTAGTATAATTATATCCACATTGTCAGTCTTCAATCTGATATTAAAATGCCATTGCCAAACTTGATCCCTGGTCCTTTTCTTTGCAAAGTGTATTCATACATCTCTTGGTACATGTCTTATTGCTACATAATGTGAATTTACCTAATACACCTTATCAATCTCATCTTCAGCTTTTTCTTCATCCCAGTTTAAGAATTCTCCCAACACTTGAACTACCTTTCTTCTAATATTTTCATCTGAATTTTTCAGAATAGCTCTGAATCTCAGGCAAAATTCCGTCTCCCTTAACTCCAACAAAGCCACATTACCAAGTCCTTTGCGGAGTCCTTGGGGTTCTCTGAGCTTGGTTGTTTTCTTGCAAATGTTTCGTTACCCGGCTAGTAACATCTTCAGTGCTGGAAT